GAAGTGGTTTCTCCACCATTTTGCATATTGACATTGAAGTTTTTCAGCACCCTAAGATTAAATCAGTTTCCAAACAGTTCTCTTATGTTATTTCTAGTAAGCTAAAATCTCTACAAACTTAATCTGAACTACTGATGAATATAGTTTCATATTTCTATGGATGGCTTTCTATTGTCCTTGATACCATCTGTAATTGTGCTAATTGGCTTGTGCCATCTTCTGACCTCTGGCCAGTTTTCTTACATTTCAAATGTATCTTTTCCTTCTAGGCTTCCATACACTGTTCTTCTCAGCTAGGAATATTTCTCCTGCACCACCCAGACATAGCCAATCTTAGTCATCCTTCAAAGCTCAGTGCAAATACCACTCCTTCATGGGACTCTTCCTTGCCCTGGCCCCCATGTTCCCCTCCCAAGAGAACCTTTATCCAGATACAATTAGTCTTCTTCAACATTTATTAAAATATCTGTGCAATGAGGTATCTGTCTTCTTAGCTATTCTGAAGTCTGTGAGAACATGATCGATTTCTTACTTTGTTTAGGGTTTTATATGATTTAGAACTCAGTAATTATTTGCTGAGTGAATGAACAAAAGCTAAATCAGTATGATCAATTTAAGGTAATGAGAAAAGACATTTAGCTAAACTCTGGGCTGTATCCAAGACAATCTTTTTTTTGCGGGGGGGGGGGGTACTGAGGCTTGAACACAGGGCCTCACAGCTTGCTAGGGTTGCTAGACAGGCACTCTATCACTTAAGCCACTCCACTAGCCTTGTTTTGTATTAGATTTTTTCAAGATAGTGTCTCATGAACTATTTGCCCTGGGCTGGCTTTGAACTGAGATCATCCTAATCTCTTCTTCCTGAGTAGTTAAGATTACAGGCATGAGCCACCAGCGCCTGGCTCAAGACAATCTTGAGAAAGAAAAAGTTCTCCAAAATAAGTGATGATAAAATTTAGCAGACTTTGAGCAGGAGTACTTGTACCTAACAATGGACTTTTAAGACAAAAACTGTAAGAGGCAGAGAGGGTCACTATATAATGATCAAAGGACCAATGCAACAAGATATAACAATTGTAAATTCATATGTACGAGTGTCAGAATACTTAATTTTATAAACCAAACACTTAGATCTGAAGGGAGTCTCCAATAATAATGGAGGACTCCTTAACACCCAGTTTCATCAATATACAGATCATGCAAAATCCCCCCCACCAAGTAAATCTAACCAGAAAGCATTAAACTATACTATAGATCAAATGAACTTAATATTCTACCCAACAGCTGCAGAATACACATTCTTTTTATCAGTACATGGAATAAAACAAGTCTTAACATAAAAGTATCAGTATATAGGTCACAAAACAAGTCTTAACAAATTAAAAAATCATGTATCTTTTCTGATCAAAATGGAATAAAACAAGAAGTTAACAAAAAAGGAAAATTTAGAAATTATATGATTCATGGAGAGGGAATGAATGAGTTATTGAAGAAACCAAAAGGAAAAATTAAAAATTTTCTCAAAAGAAATAGAAAAACTATAAGGGAAAGTTATAGCAGTAGGTTCCTTCTAAAAAACAGAAAGAAGCCGGGAGCTGGTGGCTCACAGCTGTAATCTTAGCATTCAGGAGGCAGAGATCAATCAGGAGGATCATGGCTCAAAGCCAGCCTGGCAAATAGTTTGTGAGACCCTATCTCAAAAAACCCTTCACAAAAAAGGGGTGGGAGTGGCTCAAGGTGTAGGCCCTGAGTTCATAACCCAGTACTGTTAAGAAAAAAAAAAAATTCAAATAAATAACCTAATGATACAGTTCAAGGATTTAGAAAAGAACAAACCAAATCCCAAATTAGTAGAAGAAATTGATAAAGATCAGAACAGAGATAAATGAAATGGAGACTAAAACAAAAACCAATACACACAAAAGTTGATGAAGCAGAGTTGGATTTTTTTAAGTTTCAGACAGGGTCTCAAAATGTAGCCCAAACTGGCCTTGAACTTGTGACACCGCTTCTGCCTCTCATGTGCTGGGATTATAAATTTGTACCAGCACAACAGGCCAAAGAATTGGTTTTGTGAAAAGATAAAATAGACAACCCTTTGGCTAGACTAACTCAAAATAAACAGAAATCAGAGACATTACAACCAATACTACAGAAATACAAAGGCTCATCATGGACTATCATGAAAATTATATGGTAATACTCTGGAAAACCTAGAAGAAATGGGCAAACTTCTGGACATATATGACCTATCAAAATTAAACCATATGAAAATAAAAGCCTGAAAAGACCAATAACAAGTAATGAGATCAAATCAGTAATTAAAATTCTCCTAACAAAGAAAAGCTGAGAACTAGATAGCTTTGTTTTTGCTGAATTTTATAAAAATTTGGAGAATGCCAATTCTTTCCAAACTGTTCCAAAGAATGGAAAGGGAGAGAACCATCCCAAATTCATCCTATTACTAAAACTAGACAACACAAAAAGAGAAAACTATAGACAAATATCCCTGATGACTATAAAGCAAAAATTCTCTACAAACTGTATCTTTAGTTTATTTTCTTTAAGTGCTTCCCTAACTGTAAGATCAGAAACTCTGAAACTACTAGAAGACAACAAAGGGAAATACTTTAAGAAACTGGTACAAGCAATGGTTTTCTGGATGGGATCCTACAAGAAGAGGATCAAAAGCAAAAGTTGACAAATGGGATTAAATCAAGCTAAAGCTTCTGCACCGCAAAGGAAACAATCAACACAAGTGATGAAAAAACATACAGACTGGCCAAAATCTTTGTCAAGTATTCATCTGACGGAGGGCTAATACTTAGAATATATAAGGAATTAAAGAAAAAGAAGTAGTCCCATTAAAAAATGGATAAAGACATTTCTCAAAGGAAGAAATACAAATGGCCAAGAAACATGAAGGTCAGGAAAATGCAAACGAAAACCACAAGAAGGCCAGCCTGAACTACCTAGAGAGACCCTGTCTCAAGAACAAAGAAAATATTCTTCTCTACAAAATAACCTACAGTGAGACACCATCTCACCCAAGTTAGGATGATTATTATCAAAAAAAAAACAAAGAATGACAAATGCTACTGAGGATGTTGAGAAAAAGAATCCTTTCTTTTTGCCCTCAGTACTGGGGACTGAACTTGGGGTCTTGTGCTTGTAAGGGCTCTACCACTTGAGCGATGTCCCCAGTTCTTTTTGCTTTCAATTTGTTCTGCAGATAGTGTCTTTAGCTAATGTTGCCAGGGCTTGCTGAAATCCTTTTACTTCTACCACCTTAGTGGTTGGGACCACCTGCATGTGCCACCATACCTGGCTAGTTTTTGAGAGAGGGTCTTGCTGGTTTTTGCCTGGGCTGGCCTCCAATCTTGATCCTTTGTATCTACTTTTTTTAACAGGTGTGTGTGACACCAAGCCCACCCCTAAGGAATTCTTATATTCTGTTGGGACAGAAAATAAATTGGTCTAACATTATGCAGAACAGTACGGAGGTTCCTCAAAAGACTGAGATCTACCGTATGATCCAGCATATCCCACTTCTGGGTACATATCTACAAAAAATGACACCAGCATATCAGAGATACCCAGATGTCCATGTTTACTTCAAAACTATTCACAATAGCTAAAAATGGCCAAAGAGACCATGAACAGATTAATGGATGAACAAAACATTTCATATATCCACAATGGAGTATTACTTAGCTGAAAAGAATGAGATCCTGTCATTTGCAGTAAAATGGATGGAACTAGTTATGTTACCTGAAATAAGCCAGACTCCTTTGTGGAAGTTTAAAAAGCTGACCTGAAAGTAGAAGAGTTATTACTAGAAATTGAGAAGGGTGTGAGTGTGGAGGGTGGAAGTGGGAGAGCAGAAGGTGAAAGGTTGGAAAAAGGGAAGCTGGACTTGATCAATACACATATGTGCATGTATAGAAATATCACACTAAACACCATTAATGTGTACAATTAATAGGTGTTAATGTTTTTAAAAATTCTTTTAAAATGAAGAAAACTTTAGAAATATGTCCTATAAAGGTGAATGATTATTTTTTCACACTTAGTATGGGGGTGAGGAGCATGGAAAAAGGCAAACAAGCACAGCTGAGTGGTATATTTGTTGTTTTACTGTTAATTTGACACATCTGAACCAAAGCATTCACAATACTTGATATACTTTAAAGAGAATCATATACTAGTCTTAGACATAACCACAGAACAAGCAGAACAATTAAAACTACGTAAGGCCTTAAAATATGTCCACAGTGTGTATTACTTCAATATTCATTCATTACAAATTAAGACTACATACCGTTAATTTTATTTTTATTTTTCTTTCATTGTTTTATTCAGGCAGGATTCATTCAAGGAAAGGCAACTTAGTTTTGAGTGTGAGCTTTATTTTTTACTATACTGGTTAATATAAAACTTATGAGTTAAATGTTTTCTTATCTCCTATATGCAGGAGTGAATCCATGAAATTCTCACATAGTAATCCAAAAGAATAGGTCCTATTTTTAAAAACAGCCAAAGTGAAAAAGGACCAGATAGCCAGTCCATTTGTGGTCTTGAAGAACAACTAATGGAGTTTCACATTTTCATATAATGAGTACTACAATTCTATGAGGTTAGTCAAAATTTAAAACAATATTGCATACAAAATTATTCTTGAAGCCCTAAATGCCTTTTAAATAACTAAATATTTTGTGTAGTTGCCTCACAGTACCAAACTTATAAATCAAAACTAGTTAAAATTCAGTGCCATCATGTCTTCTCATTTACAAGATAACTAATTGGTAAATTAACAGATGGCATAAAATTAAAGACTTACTTCATTTTTGTAAATGACAAATGTATGATAACCAAAGAATACAGAAAAGCCAATGTATTTTACAGTAAAATAACCAATTAAGCCTCTATCCCTGTACAACAGGGTTTAGGTCAACTCTAGTTAACCTGCTTTCATATTCTTTTGCTTTTACAATTTATTGTATTATGAGTACTTGAATTGCTTTAGGTATACAGCTTTTTGAAAGAATATTACATTTGTTTACCAGGATAAGATTTAGTACATTGAGATGTTTTAAAAATATTTATAAACTTGTTTTTGATAGGCAAAAGCATTTGGCAATACTTTTATAGCATTTGATTTCATAGAATTAAAATTTCATACAGTACTCATCTTGATGTTTAAAAAAAAAAATTCACAGAGAAAATATAAATTACATAGCTTGACTGCATGATACTGTTTATTTCCAGTTTCTAGTTCTGGTAATTAAAACCTTCATTAAGTCTGTTAACAAATCATTACCTGTACATTTATGAAGGCAACTGACATGATTTGTAAACAAAACCTTCAGGTTTTATGTTATTTACCAAAGAGTGCAGTTCATCAGGAAAAGAAAACCCGGTATGTGAATTTACAGAGTATTTTTACAAATTTACCAGTTCCTGTGACACAAACTGTTTCAACCTTTCAAGGTATTGTCCATAAAGTTCCACATCATTGTGTCCTGCTCCTTCAACCCACAGCGGCTCCACAGGTCTTTGGCAACGCTCAAACAATGCGAGGCCATGTGAAAAGTCAATGACTTCATCTTCAGTCCCATGAATTATTAATACTGGAGAGGTTATTTTAGAGATTTTGTCAATACTAAAAGGAAAAGAGAAGGGAGGGAGAGAAAAGAATCAATTAACTATGTGAAAAGAATCAATTAACTATATGAAAAGAATTTTCTTCTGCTGTAACAGAAAATTAGAACATCAGATATGAATCAGCTCAGAAGGGATGAATCCTTGTTTTATCTGCCTTTTACCTGCACTGACTGATATTTACCTGAGGAAGTTACCTTCATTCACTCCAGTTATGGTGGAATCACTCAATGCTGCTGTTACCCTGTTATCACTCTTGTACAATGCAGATGTTTTAGCACAGAGAAACTTAAGTTTCAAGAGGAGGAAACAAAGGACTATTTCAAGGATGTGCTCACTTTACCATTTTGTGCTATAATATCATTTTATTATACGCTATTTCTCTGTAATCTCTTATTAAAAGTACGAAAAAAAGTTTTTGTTTTTGTTCTGGTGTAAGGGGTATAACCTTACAAAAACAGGAAGAAAATTAATAAAATTTTGAAGATGGAAAGTAAATAAACGTGTAAGAAAATAAGAAAATATAACTTAAGGCAGAAGAAGCAACCCAATTTATAACAGAAAATATTCTAGAAGACATAAGGCATTGCCATGAGGATGAAGGCAGGTTACTGAAATATACAGGATTTGTTCAGTCTTCTTAAAATAAAGCTAGATGCCTTTTCAGGTCATTCCTCTTCTTTATGCAGGTGGGTAACTCTAACTGCCCACCCCCAAGACTGAAAGGTCTGTGGACTCAGGACTGCCGGAGTTTAGGGTAAAGGTAACACGGAGTCACAGAAAACATACACATGCTCGCTGCTATTAATCCTACTTGCCTCCCAAGAATGCTAGGCCTTCATCCACCAAGGGGGAGTTTTAGAAAGAGCTTTCTTTAGCTGGGTGCTGGTGTTTCACGCCTGTAATCCTAACTACTCAGGAAGCAAAGATCAGGAGGATTGTGGTTCGAAGCCAGCCTGGGTAAATAGTTTGGGAGACCCTACCTCGAAAAATCCTTTACAAAAGTAGGGCAGATGGAGTGGTTCAAGGTGCAGGCCCTGAGTTCAAGCCCTGGTATAGCCAAAAAAAAAAGAGCTTTCTTTGAGGACTCTACCAAATGACCTCTTTAGTTCTCAGACAGCCAAGAATTATCAGACATCAGATCACTTTAAATGTGATCAAGGCAGGCACCCTATCACTTGAGCCATGCCTCCAGCCCTACAAACAAGTTAAAAAAAAAAATCCTGAGAGAGAGATATGACATTATAACAATAAGATGAGAATGGAACCTTACAAAGGAAGAAATTAGTGAAATAATTTAAGTCTGATTGTTTGAAAAAGTACTTGGATGTACTATTTGCTGTCAGCAAGATGTTTAACAGTTGAGGAATTAAAACTTTAAAAACAAATTAAAAAAAAAAAAACAAAAATTGCTTCCTATACGTTATTTGTGGTTACCCACCAGCTCCTTCTCTGCTGGTGTGCCAGTAGGAAGTAACTAGACAGAACTGTAAGTCACAACAGTATCACTTCAACTTACACCATATATTAATTCTTATCATTCAGATAAACGGAATTGCTGTAATGCATGTGCCTATAATTATCTAAAACAAGAATAAACCCCTAACAAAATGAAAATACACATTGGTAAAGTGCTTGTTTAGCATGCATGAAGCCCTGGGCTTGATTCCCAGTACCACAAAACCAAAAAACAATTCCAGCTCCCTCCCCCTAAAAAAGAAAAACCTCCCATGGCCTGTCAGCCCTAGTAATAAGAACAAATGCTCCTAAAAGCTTACCTACTAATGTGACCCTTTCTGGCCAATAACAAAAAAAAAATTCTTTTTGACATGTTTGCTACAACTTCTCAACAACCAAGTGATAACTTGGCTTTTGGTTTGCCATTCATAACAAAATCCTTTGTAATGCTGCCAACTGAGGAAAGAAAAGAAGACTGAAATTTGCTAGTTTCTTTTTCTTTTGGGAAAAATAGGTCATCAATATTTTTCCAACTATGAAGAGAAGCAGGTAGAACCTTTCTCCTGTCTTGAAGCATGAAGTAACTGCTCTTCGTCCAAATCCATCTACTACTGTATGTTTCCAGATTTTGTGATAGCAAAACAGTCCAATTCATTTGAGACAACTTTTTTGCAGTTTCCTTTTTTTTTTTTTTGATAAATCAGGTATTATTAGTTAGATATCACTCACTCATTTTTTTTCCTTTCTACCTATTCCTTTCCTCCAGTGATAAGTACCTTTTTGCATGGTTTCTTCCTTTAGTAGCTCAAGGCAGAAACCTGGGAATCTTATTTAAGTTGTTCTGCTTAGCATCCTACATACAACCTGCGACTCAGTTTTGTCAATTTTATTTCACAAATTCATTCTCTGTCTCTAATATTACCACTTAGAACAGAAAGGCCACTTTTCATGTGGATTACTATTGCTCAAACCTTTCAGCTTCCTTACGTTGTCACCTGCCAACATCCTCTGTTAATTAGTTTTTGTAATTTCTACAGGATAAAATATGTAAGATAGAAGATCATGGCTGAATGAACTGTGTCATGAATGTCTGAAGGAAAATTCCCTTAGAAGTTTCTTGGAATTGAGCTATTTTGAGTATTGCTACTTACTTTGGGAATGCATCAAAACAGTATGTCTTCTTGGTATCAGGAAAAGCAACGCGCATTCCCGAGGTCAAAGGAGAATGAAGAATAACAGCAGCACTTTCATACCGAGCAGCAAGATCCACAGACGGTACTGTCCCTATACTTTGGCCATATATAATCACATTTTCAGGACGGATGCCATACCTACAAAATTAAGAAGTTAAACAGAAAGTTGAACTGGATGACTTATGAGACAGTGTCAACTAATTTGTATTTAAAACTTGTCTTTTAAAAATTCAATATTATGAAAAACAAAGTTAATTCATTTATTGTACTTCAGTATTTCAACCTAGCATAGTGTTGACTAAACTTGGAATACATTATATCACTAATATTTCAATGGACTGATGCTTAATTTTTATTTTCCATTCAATGTAACAAAAGTTCCTTATTTAATTAGACATTAAAAGTGGCTCATTTTATTTTCTAAATTGGTTATACTGATGACTGCTGCATATAATTATGTTATGAAGTATAATTAATGCATTATTTTCATCAAGATCAAATTATAATTTCTTGTGAAATTTGCCTTTGCTTACTTGTAGAAATGGACCAATCATCAAAACAGAGGAACAGATGAACTAGAATTCCAAACATCATACTCTTCAGTTAATTATGAATAGACTTCATACTAAAAATCTCACCAGTATTGCTAAACCCCTTTAACGCTGCATCAGATTTAAATATGTGAACTCATTGACTTAATAAATATTTTTTGGTTGCTTATTATGTTCCAGAGTTGTTACTTGTATAATTGTCCCAGCTGTAATCTACTTTAAGTATAGGTAAGGTGTTACAGGAGCTAATGAATGTGGGGTTAAGGGTTACAGTGACTTTAAAAATGCTTTTCTAGCCAGGTACTGGTGGCTCACACCTGTTATCCTAGTTACCTGGGAGGCTGAAATCAGATGGATTGTGGTTTGAGGCCAGCCTGGGGAAAAAAATTAGCGAGACTCCCATCTCAACCAATAGCTAGCTATGGTGGCATGCTCTTGCCATGCCAAGCTACATGGGATGTTGAGTTTGGAAGGATTGGGGTTCCAGGCTATCCTGGACAAAATATGTTCGTGAGACCTCATCCTGATGGAAAAAAGCTGAGTGTGATGACACATACCTGTCATCCCAACTATGGTGGGAAGCATAAATAGGAGGATCACGGTCCAGGTTTCCCTGGGCAAGAAAGGAGACCCTATCTCAAAAATACTCAGAGCACAAAGTGCTGTGGAAGTATGGCTGGATTGACAGAACACCTGCCTAGCAAGTGTAAAGCCCTGAGTTCAAACCTAGAACTGCCCCCACCATTTCCCCAAAAGTTTTTCCACTTAGAAGGCAGGGAATAGACACTTCTGATCTTCTTATAGTCATGTCCACAGGAGCTTCTGGTCCTTTCAAAACCTAAGAGTTCTTTTTTTTTTTTTTGCTAAGAGAGTTTTCTGAGAATCTGAACATTCATCAGGCTAGAGCAGGCAAACTTTCATGTGTTCTCTTCCAAGAGGCATAGAATTATCCAGGTAGTGACACCTCTCCATAGTTTTTTTTTTTTTTTTCAATCAGTTCTATATAAACATGAGGTGAGGTTCCATCTATTCAAATGTCACTAAACTCAGAAAAGCTTTTTTCTTGATAACAGACCTAATTGTACATATTTTAAAGGGATGAAGGAGTAAGGCCAGGCATAGTGGTACATCTCTGTAATCCTAGCTACTTGGGAGGTAGAGTTAGGAGGACTGCAGTTCGAGGCTGGCCTGTGGGCAAAAAGTTAGCAAGACTTTATCTCAAAAACAACCCAGGCATGGTGTACATGCTTGTAATCCCAGTTACTTGGGCAGTGGAGGTAGGAGGATTATGGTCTCAGGTGGCCTTTTGTGGTCAAAGCACAAAACCCTATCTGAGAAACAAATTTAAAAGCAAAAAGGACTTGGGGGCATGGCTCAAGTGGTAGAGTGCTTGCAGCATGCAGTATGAGGCCCTGAGATCAATTTCTAGTACTCCCACAAAAAAAGAAGAAAAAGCAGCAGCTGCGAGAAGAATGAACATCTGCAGTATCAGCACACCTCTTAAGGTGGAACTACTGTCAGTTGAATAACATAACAATTTATTCATGGTAATTGCTAAAGCTAGAAAGGTTGAGGCTTCAGAGTAGCAATCATTCAGAAGATTTTTTTTTTTTTTGGTGGTGCTGGGGTTTGAACTCAGGGCCTACACCTTGAGCCACTTCACCAGCCCTTTTTTGTGCAGAGTTTTTTTTTGAGATAGGGTCTTGTGAACTATTTGGCCGGGCTGGCTTCAAATTGTGATCTTCCTGGTCTCTGTCTACTGAGTAGCTAGGATTACAGGCATGAGCAACCGGCATCCAGTGTATCACAGGAATTTAGGCAATAACAATTTCAGCAAAATATGAGTTAGAAAGAACCTCAGAGACCAACTAATGTAGTGAGTTGCTTAAGGAGCAGATGTTCAAAGTTACTGTAACAACAGACCTATAAATAAAGCCCAGGCACTTTGGTGGACTCCAAAGCCGGTGCTCTTTCCATGGCAGCACACACACAGAGATCAAGGACTGTGGGGAAAAGGTGAATAGTGATCACCACCTTATTCTGTGGGTCAATCAGAAGATTAGAAACTAGAGGTATCTAATTTTCTTGAAAAGAAGATCATTCAAATAATTATTTAAGTTCATTATTTTCCTCTTCTGGTTACTTAAGCCTTAACTTTTTACTTTTACCAGGTAAAAGAAATGTAAGGCATAATACATCCTATTAGAGGATGTATTATCCTATTAGAGGATATCCACACATCCTATTAGAGGATAAAATTCCAGAATGGGAATTACTTAATCCCTTCACTGAAGAGATAAGGCTCAGAAGTATTTATGGTTCAACATGAAAGTTTTCTGTAAATAGTATGTGGGATTATTTAAGAATTTAATCTGCCCTTGTTCCTCTTTAATACTGGCTATCAAATGTGTTAAAAAAAAAAAGACTAATCAGGACTGGAAATCATTTTAGTAATTTATTGTTTCCTTTAAATCTTTGGCAAGATAAAAAGAAAAGCTGAGTACATAAAAAGGGGGAATTTTTCCTTCATGGAAAAGAATGCTGAATTTTGATGTTTTGTTTCAATAACGATATCCCCTGTGTTACTTAGAAGTGCAAATAATGAGGACTATCTTTTACCTTAGCATCTTTAAAAACACATTACAATGAAGTTATACTTTAGAAATATGATGTGCAATAAATTATCTCATTAAAAATAATAATTTCTGACAGTTATTATATTACATTCAAATGGAAGATTCTGAAAAATGGGTGCTTATTTCTTTCTTGTTTGTATAATCCCTGATGGAACTTCCTACAATATATTGATAATAGATTTTTATACAATGCAATTTAAAAATGTATAAATTAAATGACAATCTTTATCACACCCTATTAACTCTTTACTACTTACCATCTATTTAACTATTTGTTTTTACTCTTCAAAGTCATGTTTTCATATAATTTAAGAACTCCCTTCATGCAGAATTTTGCTATGGAACATAACTTTATTATATTTCTCAGAGAAGGAAGCATTTTTAAGGCAATTTCCTTTCTCTGTTTTTATTTATTTATTTATTTATTTTGAGATAGGGTCTCACTATGTAGTCCAAGCTAGCCTGGAACTCATGATCCTTTTAAAGATATTTTCTAAAAAAAAAGTTATCCCTGACATCATTAAAATTTACAAATTACAAATGGTGAGCTTTTTTAATGTCTTCCAGTTTCAGTCTAAAATTTAGTAAGTCAGGATTTATTCTGAGACATCTATTTAGTGATGAGAAAATACACTGGAATCTACAAAATGAAGACACTTTTGTAAAAAAAATTTATAAGTATCTTGGTGACTAGAAAGGATTAATGTAATTTCTAGTTCCCAAGTGTATACTGTTATAATCAGAGAATAATTGAGAGAAAAGAACTTTCTTAAGCAATATATTTTTATAACATTACTTTTAAAAAAAAACTTGAGATCATTGAGCCAAATTTTAGGAGTTCAGAAAAGGTAAATTCTTTTAATGCAAACTTCATGTAGGATTTAAACAGAAAAACTTCTTACACTATTAATGACAAATAAATGAATAAGTTAAATCACTGTTTTCTCTTATTTCCTTTAAATGCTGCAATTTTGAATAAATGTTTGTGTATCACATTCCAATAAAAAGTTTAGAAAACAAAATGTCATTGGATTTAAAATTTTAAAAAATCATTATTTATACACATGCATTAACACAAACAAATGAGACAGCTGTTTTAAAAATTTCTGGTTATATAAAATTTAAAACTGCAATGTAAAAGTTTAACTACTCATAAGTATATATTGGTAAATGTAATGTTTATGTAGTAGTTCAAAGCATGGGCAATAAAATGTTTATTCTATTACTGTACAGTACAATTTTAGTTAACTACCATAAGTGTGCAAAATAATTCCTAATAACTTACCTTGTTCTAAGAGCAAGCCAAGCAGCTTCAATATCTGCATAGAGGTTCTTCTCTGTTGGCTTCCCAGAACTTGCACCATATCCAGAGTAATCGTATGAAAATATATTACAATTAATCCGTGATCCCAGTCCTATGTAAAAGCTGCTCATCTGACCAAGATCTACAGCATTTCCATGTGAGAAGAGTAAAGTGTATTTAGCATTGGGCGAGCAACGCACAAACATACAGGCAATTCTGTTGCCTTTACTGGTTCTAGTCATGAAACACTCAATAGCATCCTTTTCTCTAGAAGAGTACTGCCAGTCTGCTCGTTCTGATAGGTGTAAAGTCCAGCGGCTTCCACTTTCATCACACATCAGTGTGTAAGTTGGATCAGGTGGCAAAAATGCTAATTTTGAAGCAATTTTCCCTGGGCAAGGTGGACAGCAGAAGAGGCAACACAGCTCACTAAATGAAAGATTATTCATCTTCTGAAAAAGAGAAGGAGATAGCAAACATTTTAATAACCGAATGCGGGTTCTGCATTCTCATACAATAGGTTAAAACAAAGACATGAATAAATATTATTGGTGATCAAGGTGTACTACTGTTAAGTATCTTGTCAAATAGATTTTTGGCATCTTTCCAAAATACTATGATTAAAATAAAAAATAGCATTTATGAAGGAAGTACTTACTATTAGGAATGAATTCAATGCCTTTTAGATATTTAATCCTCAAAATAACTAAACTGGTTAGAGAAAAAGAAACTTGCACAAGGCGAGGCAATGGTAGAGGTAGAATTTGAAACATCTTTTCTATGTTCATAGAAAGTTTTTGAGCCCTTGAGATAGTGTAGCCCAGTGACATATCTTTGTTTGCATCAGAAACCTATCATTTTAGTCACAGAAAGGTGGCTTAAATAACCTATAAATCAAAAAAATCTATGTATGCATGCTTATATGTATGTGCATAATTATTGCCCCAAATAAAGGGTTATAATAAAGTCAATTATGAAAGACAGGTTAAAAAATCAATTATAAGCAAATTGGATGAGGAAGAGCACAAGGTTTAAAGACAGAGAACTAGGGTGAAAACCCAACTTACTACTTACGAGCTGTGTGTCCTTGGGCAAATAATTTACCTCTTTGAACCTTTTTTTCTCCCTAAGGAAATTAGGCTAATACCTACACTGAACAAAGTGATTGTAAAGATTAAATGCAATGATGTAGTGATGGCATAATACAGGGATGGCCATATATTTGTCATATTCCTATGTCATTTCCATTAATATCTTAAAAATATCAAGCTCATGTTAACTTAAGGACAAAAATAAAAGGAATAGTTGTTTGCTGTATCAGAATGCCCTTCTATCTTGTCCTTTCTCAAACTTATTTTACCAGAAGCAGACCATTACTTAGTTCTAGAAAGAAGGCATTCAAAACGAATACTTTCCAACAGGAAGCTGTGGTTTGAAGTCAGCCTGGGCAAACAGTTTGCAGATCCCTATTTGGAAAATACCCAACACAAAAAAGGGTTGGTGGAGTGGTAGAGCACCTACCTACCGAGGCCCTGAATTCAAGCCCCAGTAACCAGAAAAAAAAAAAAAAAAACAAAAAACAATACTTTCCAAAAGTTTGGTAGCTCTTACTTTCCTCCAAAATATCTGAATATAAGGATGGGAAAAAATGTACATCATTACACAAAAAATGAGAAATCTCCTTCAGGGAGTGACTACAGTTGAGAATATGTGAAAAGAAAGGAATGCTTTTGCATTTATTACTGAATCAAAATACAGTCTATAGAATAATGCCCAATTCAAATGTGATAATTTCTCACTGTAAGCACGTTAGATAGGAAGCAGCAGAAACAGCAGAGAAAGAAAAACAAGGAAACCATGGCATAACCAGGTTTTAGAATGTGTGTCTTAGATACCGGAAACACTTTTACTTGCTACTTTTCTTTTATAGAATGAATAATGTGTTGGCCTGGATGGAACAAAAATTAGAATAGAAATGACAACTAGGTGTCATCTTTTGTGTTAACCCTAATTGGCTTCCTGAAGCATTGCAATGAGAAGGATTCTAAGATCAACTTCAGGGCTTAGCAGGCAAAGGACATGTAATGAATAAACAGTGTCCACTATAGAATTTGGCTACTAATTTGCTATCCCGTGCAGGAGGATAAAGAATCGGTGAAATATATGGTAAGGAAGGGAGTTCAAGTGTCTGTACCAAAGGAGAAGACCTGGAGAAAAATGATGAGGTAGAAGGTTCAACACACCGAAGTGATCTGTTTAATAATCTGCCTATGGTTATTTCTTACCCTCAGTTACCTTATATGCCATCGACTGCTGAACAATGCACTACAGCCAATTAAAAACTTGATTAGTAAGTATACCACATGTAGCTAGACTGGGTTCCTGTAATTTACTTCATAACCATGAAGATTTTTACATACTACAATAAGCCAGTTTTAAAATAAACCTGGTTGGTTGAATTTGTTTAGTGCTGCAAAGATGTTTCTGGGGATGAACACCAAAGGAAAGAGGCAGAAAGGAAAAAAGGTGCAGTGCTAGGGTCTTGTCTAATGAAAACACAACCTAACCTTCTTAATGGTGGCAGAAGAAAGTACTCCCACCTTTACTGCCCCAAAGTCAGGTAACTGGGACCCACTTAAAGATGACTCACAAATTATCCCTTTCCAAATACTAGACCTGGTATAGGGCAGCAAGTAACACTGTACTACTTTTTAAAAACAGTTATTGCCTACTCTTCTGTAAGTCTGAAAAATTGCATGATAAAAAGTATAAGATAAAGCTAAGTTTGAGTATGCGCTGAGCAAGTTAGAGGGAATACAGTTCGCTTTTGATTTAAAAAAATCTGAAACAGCTTTCTAAATTCAGATAATTGTAACTTTTCCACTTACTCTTGACAATAACAACAAATCCTGAAGAGTCAATAATCCTTTGGGAAAAATGTTAGGACATCTGGGAGTATACAAAACCTACACAAAAGTACACAAGAGACAGAAAAGTGAAAAATTTCTGGCAGGACAATCAGAAATTTTGAACCAGATAAAAGGATTTAAAATAACATAATAAACGTGTAAGAAAAGGAAAAATACTTAAAGACAAAGCAGGTAAAACTGACATAAAGGAAACCCAAGTGGATATTCCTAGTATAAAAAATCAAGTGGAGACATAAAGAACCTGATGGGTCTATGAAAAGCTACTGTGAGAGATAGCTCAGAATTTTTCCATTCAGGTATTAAGACAGACTATACAAAGTCAAAGTAATACAGACTGGCACTCACACAAAAACTAACAGATAGAAGACAGTTTATAAATGGGTTCACATGTAAATGAGACCATGGCATGACTGCTGATTTCTCAAAGCAGCAAGAAAAGATGGATTCTTTAGTAGTCTTTAATTTTATGTTCTTATACAATAGATCCTTGGTATCTGAGGGTATATGGTTCCAAGGAGACTGCTGTTGAGGAAAAACCTCAAGTGCTCACGAAGCATAAAGTTCAGTATATACCACAGATGCTTGAATCATTTTACCCTAACACTGTAACAGAAAGGCTCAACTTCACCAACTGTTAGAAATGCAAACAACAGCATTTCAAAACTAAAAATAAATAAAACTTTAACCAAATCCAAAGAAACACTTACACAGGTTTATAAGGTAACAAACATGTATTAGTAATATATTGCAACATTACTTGTGTCAGAACATAAGAAGCAACACAGATTCCATTACTGGGGAAATGTGTATAAGTAAATATGTTGAGTGCTGATAATGGAATACTACACAATTCGAAACAATGACTTTAACAGCTAGAGTTTAAAAATAGTGTACTAGGTGAACAAGGAACAGATCTATGAATACCATTAACATAAAGACACACAAACATTGTCTACCTTTAAGGATAAGTACATATCTATGAACATATATATCAGAGGGTATGCTTATGTTTACATGAAGATGAAGATGGAGGCTGAAAGAAAAAAATATATAAATTAAGTGAAAAAAGTATAGGGTCTATGTACATAGCCTGATGATAACGTGCCATGAATTAGACTTAAAAGTTCCAGATGGCAGCAATCACACCTGCTTGCTTACAATTGTACTTCTATTGCCAAGCTGAGTATCTGGCACTCAGTAATGCTTCTAATACTTTTTGAATAAATGAGTTAGTAAATTAGCGAGACTAACTCAACTCTGTACCTAAGAAGCTCCCTCAAATAAAAAACTATAAGCCAACGAATTAAGAAAAAAATGCAAACATTTTGTTATTATTAATACTTCTTATGTCTTTTTTTTTTTTTGGTGGTCTTCAAGTTTGAACTCAGGACCTTATGCTTGCTAGGCAGATGCTATATCACTTGAGTCACTCTGCAAACCCTACTTATATATCTCATGTGGAGGCAAAAAAGAACCAAATAGAAAATGTTTGAACCTAAGTTGTGGGAAGGGCAGCAGATGGAAAAATATTTCTATTTAAATCTTTCAGTGTATTATGAAGCATGGGACCATTTTCAAGGGAAGAGGAAATCTTGCCCTCCTGAGCTAAATATAAAAATGAAAGATTACCTCAATGTTCAATAGATGGCCTATTGTGAAAACTAAGGCATTCCTTTCCACAGAGGATTCCTGTGTGTGTGTGTATTTGTGTATATGTGTGTGTGTGTTTCTGGGCATCAAACTCAGGGCTTGCACAGAATAGGCAATGGCTCTACTACACCCCTAACCTCCATAGAGGATTCTTAGTTACTTCACCTACATCAGGAGGAACTTCCTAAAACTGTATGAAATAATTTAAGAATCTGCTTCCTGTGGCAATGTTTTCCTGCTCAATGATAAAGGAAAAGGATGAACATCTGAGTTCTTTCCCAACAAAACAGGAAGACCAATGTTTTAAATGTACCTAAATAGAATGACTTATCACATCTCCTTCCTCTCTTGTAACATATGAAATTATTAACATGACTTCTGTAAATTTACGATGTAGTAATTTAATGCAAAATCCCTTGTAATAGTTTCTTGGTAATTAAGATCAATTCATATTGTTACCATTTACAAAGAATAACTGAACTTAGTGTGATGATGTTTTAAATACATTTTCTATCTTACCTGTGAATGCCTTACGCAGAAATATAGCTTGAGAACTCCTGTCTCTATTAGGTAGGCTATATTTCTTTCTACTTTTATACCTATAAACAGCCACTCAACTGCCTGATCACAGGATGTGAAATTCAGATGGCTTTGTTATGGAAATTCAATTTTGTTTAAAAAAAGACTGTCCAGACTGTGCTATAGAAACAAACTTATGAAAATCTTTTTTTAAAGTACTAGATTTGTATATTTTAAAATAAAAGGAGAAATTTTTAGCAAAATTGTATTTTTCTTTAAAAAGTAATCATGTTCGATATTTTGTAGGTAAAATTACAACATGAAATACTACCACTCTAGGTATCCTTAGAATA